CCAAACCTCCTCTCTCATCAAGACTCCTACACCACCCTTTCCCAACCTCTCATCAGAGGTCCTCATCTCATACTTTACCAAGAAAATTTGGCCTTTCTTCTCCCCTACTCTACATCTCAAACCCTTTGATATTATTCCCCATCCTCTTCTCCTTTACTCCAGCCTCTGACAAAAAAAAATGGTCCTTCTTCTCACCAAGGCCAACCTCTCTACTTGTATCCTTAATCTCATCTTTTCCCATCTTCTCCAACAGATTTCCCTCACAACCATATCATCTCTCACTTTTTCGAGTATAAGATCCTTGAGATGAGGAATTATTTAATTTATTGTATATGTAACCCCAGTACATGGAACAAGCTTAATAAATGTGTGTTGATTGATAAAGGGTCAGTCCCTACCTATCTAGTGTCTCCTTCCCTGGCAGCTATACATGCTCCTCTTAAAGTTATTATCACATATCTCTTCTCCCCTTCACACATAAACTCCTAGAAAAAGCTGCCTGTGCTCACCATCTCCGTTTCCTCTCTTGGCATTCACTCCCCAGCCACTTTTGATCTGGCTTCTGATCATGTCTTTCACCTGAAACTGTTCTTCCTAAAGATAGCAATGATCTCTTCATTACCATATCCATTGGCTTTTTCTCAATTCTCATGCTTCTTCACCAATATGCAGCATTTGACATAATTGAACACCTTATCCTCCTTGCCAAAAAGACTGTTTTATGGAAAACTCACACAGGGCGAGCATTCACATCGTGGACAGAAGAAGTGATACAAGGACGCCCTCAAGGTATCACTTAAGAGCTTTGGAATTGATTGTGTGACATGGGAGACACTGGCACAGGACCGCTGAGCATGGCGTGCCCACATCAGAGAAGGTGCTGTGCTCTATGAGCAAAGCAGAATTGAAGTAGCTCAAAAGAACCAGGAGATGTGCAAATTCAGAGAATCCACCCCAAAATTTCACGTGGACTATTTGTGCCCAACCTGTGGTAGAACATTCTGAGCTCGTGTTCTTCTGATCAGCCACAAGTTACAGTGTATAACCCGACTCTAGCATAGAGTTATGCCACTTCGGACCTGTTCGAGAATAAAGGCCAACAACCAATCCTCTCTTCCTGGACACATGCTCTATTCTCTGGTTTTTGGCACACAGACCTCTTGCTTTTCTTCCTATGGATTTGACCACTTCTTCCTAGTCTCCCTTAGGGATCACCGTCTTCAGTCCAACTATTTAGCAGAGGTGCAGTCCCAAGTCCCTTTCCTAGAATGCCTTCTTTTCTCTCTCTAAAAGTTCTGTCCCATTGATCCCATCAGCTCCCATGAGTTTAATGAATATCTCTATGCTGATGGCTCCCAATGTATACATCATCCCGTTTCTCCCAACCTCCAGTCTAGTATCACCAAACATCTATCAGACATTTCCAACTAGATGTCCTTTAGAAATCTTATACTCAACATATCCAAAACAGAACTCATAGTCTTTTCCCAAAAACTCATTCTACTTCCTTACTGCCCTATTTCTATCAAAAGCATCACTCTCCTTCCAGTCACTCAGATTTACAATCTGAATACACAACCCTTCGCCCGCCTCACCTTCCTTATATATCCAATAAATTACTAAGTCTGGTCAGTTCTGCCCATCCAGCATTTCTCATATCCATCCCCTTCTTTTCACTTCACACAGCTACCACCGTGGTTCAGGCCCTCATCATTCCTTACCCAGACGATCACAATAGCCTCCTATCTGGTTTCCCTTCCTGAGTCTCTTTCCTTTCCAATGTATCTTCTACACAGCTGCCAACTTGATATTCCTAAAGCACAAGTGTAATAATGTCACTCCTCTGCTCAAAACACTGGCCTGCTGGTTGATTCCTGTACCTAGTTTCTCTTCGTGCCTTTGAACAGGCTGTTCCCTATGAGGCAGCTAGGTGGCTCAAGGGAATAAAGCACTTGGCCTGGAGTCAGGAAGACCTGATTTCAAATCCAGCCTCAGACACTTACTAGATATGTGACCCAGGGCAAGTCACTTAACCTCTGTCTGCCTCAGTTTCCTTAAATGAGGATAACACAAAAGCCCCAGATAAATCACTGCATACCAGATATTTGAACCCAAAATGTAAAGGTCAGAATCAAATGGTTTTCTCCTTCCCATCCCCTAATTCCTCACCCCATGATTTTTTTTCACTTCCCACTCTAAGTATCTACCACTTTTACTGCACATGAAAATCATTAGATAATCATCGAATGTTGTTTCAGGATAGAATCATAGAATATTCAGAAGAGAAGGCACTAATGAAAACATCTATGGAGAGGTAGCACTGGCAGAGTGGTTGAGGTTTCAGTGTCTTGACTTGGCCTTAGAGGGCAGCCAACCAGAGTTCAAATACCACCTCAGATCCTTTCAAGGTGTCTGATCATGGACACATCACTTCACTTCTCAGAGCCTCAGTTTCCTCATCTGTGATATGGGGTAATAACATACTGCCTATCTCATAGGGAACATGCTTTGTAGACCCTAAAGTCTTGTATGGGTTATAATTACTTTTATAGAGGTTGTTTGTCCTTTGTTATCAAAGAAGATCAACATCACGATGTCTTGACTTGTGCACGGATTGGATTTAAGTGAGACAGGGTTTCAGCAAGCCGGCAGTCTCAAGTCAAGATGACCAGTGATGGTCCAGGATGCAGTGGATGACTTTGGCGTCTTTGATGTCTGATTAAGCACTAAGAGCTCCACAGCGCCTACTTCAGCCATCTTCATGACTGTTGGAACAAATTGTTCTGATTTGCCCATTTGGGAGACATCTTCACATGCTCAGGGGTAGGCGTTCCCCTCGCTCGCTGACAGATCTGATACCTGTCAGTTAGCCACAACCTGGTTTAGTTCATCTGCCAAGATGGTTTACCAGGGTGTGGCCACTGAACACGAGACAGCTTCTTGGAGCCACAGGTAAGAGTTGGGTGACAGGTGGACCTCAAAGGTAGATGAGCACCCCTGAAAAGGGGTCAGCAAGCCCTCACACCAGGGGTACTAGTCCTTCCTGAATGCCGCATACATCCCCTTTAAGGATGTAGGTAAGTAGAGCAGTGGATAGAGAGGGGCGTGGAACCAGGAAGACCTGAATTCAAATCCAGCCTCACAAACTTACTAGTTATGTGACCCTGGGTAAGACACTTAACTCTGTTTGCCTCAGTTTCCTCATTTGCAAAATGGGTGTTAAAATAGCACCTACCTCCCAGACCTTGTGAGGCTCAAATAAGTTAATAATTCTGAAGTGCTTAGCACAGTGCTAGGCACATAGTAAGCGCTATATAAATGTTAGCTATTATTATTTGTAAGGAAAGTGAGGTCCAGTGAAGTTACTTAACTTGTTCAAGGTCACAGTTAGTTAATGGCAAAGCAAGTACCAGAACCAAGATTTCCTGGCTAAGGTCCAGTGCACTTTCTACTTCCCCACGCTGCCTGCTGAAAGGAGAGCCTGCGTTTAAAGGGTAGGCAGACAGAGGAGCCCAGGAAGACTATAAAACCCACATTACCATATGCTAACACAGAGAGCAGGCACTCATAAATGGTGAAGAGGATGCTTGTCCCTCGAATGAGAGAACAAGCTTTTAAAAAGACTCAGGATCACAACAAACACATTCACTTAAATCCAAGCACATCTGCGTGGTACTTTGCTCTTGAGAACCCAAGGTGAGATGGAGAACCCAGCCCCACCTGCTCCCCTACATAACTTTCAGCTCTTAAACAATAGCAATCTTCTCTAGTAAAGGAAATGGGATTGAATCTCACTGAGCAATTCACTCAACAATTATTAAGCACCTGCTACATACAAGGCACTGGGCTAAGGGGAGACTCTTTGCTATATCATGCACAGATCATATTCTGTCATGGAAAGGACAGAAGAATGCAGAGAAATGCAGACACAAATATGGGTTCAATTAGATGCCTTCTGTATTTTCTTGCTGTGAGCTTTCATTTCTTTTTGAAGAGACAATCTAGCCCAATGTATTATCATCATAATTATCTAACCCATTACAGAAGTGTACAGAAGTACATTTATAGGAACTGCATCATATTTTTTTTTCAGAAAGGACCCAATGGAAGGCTATTTCATGTGATTAGAATACATGTGATATAAAGAATACATCTGGGAAGGGGAAAGGGGGAATTTGTTAGGAGAAAAAATTGGAAGGGATCTAGTCCATCCCCTTCATTTTTTAAAGAAACTGAGGTCAAGGGGTTAAGTGACTTACCCAAGTTCATATAGCTAATAATTGAAAGAGCAAAGATTTTAAACTAAGACCACTCACAGATACATTCTAATGTACTATGTTATAGTAGTAGTCACCTAAATTTCTAAAGTGCTTTCAAATGCATTCTCTCATTTAATTCCCCATAGCAGCACTATGAGATAGATTTCCCTTTTTATAAATGAGTAAACCAAGGCACAATAAGATGTTTTTTAAACTGGTTCCTCCCATCTGGAAGCACAGGGACTACTCACTGACTAGATCCCATTTGTGGTCAGTATGGAAACTTTGACCTGATCTATTTTCAGGCCTGGGCTAGTTCACAGGTCTTAGACAAGCTGGCATGCTGACAATTCTACCCTCATCCCCGACTCAACACCCAGCCCACATTCCCCAGAGGATCACCACATTAATCCCAAACTTAGTGTGGACACTCTATCTAGCCCTATTGCAGCTCAGAACTCCTGCACTTAAGAGCCCACCAGCCTCAGTCCCCAGGGCAGCTGAGATTATAGCTGCCACAAGTGGAGATCCAGTGAAATTTAAAGGTCTTCCAACTTCAAGGTCAAGTCTGAGTTTTTCTGTTACACTCTACTATCTCCACCAAAAGATTCAAAGCTTATGTTCACAATAAATCTTTTTTAATTTGACATTTTTATCACATTTTGTTTTTAGCAGACCTCAAAATATCACCTATGCTAACACAAGGGCCTAGCCGCACCAAGAGATTAAGTGACTACCCCCAAGGTCCATGCACCACTAAAGCATACTGTCTTTAAAAAGGGGGACGCAAAGGAACCAACAGATTTGACAATGGATGAACGTCACATAGGGAACACAGAGATTTTGAAAGCCTGTCACCGTCACCCAGACTCCCTAAGATGTCAGAGAGGTAAAAAAAAAATAGAAGGAAACTGGTGAACATCGACTGGAGCTGGCAGGTTTAAATTATCTTTCTTTTAACCTATTCCAATCTTCTAACATGTTAGTCACTTCAGAGGGACAAGCTTCCAGCCTCTGAATGATTCCTAAGACTAAAGTATTGAAGAGAATGGAAGTATTACTGGAGTTACTTCTTAGGACTCATATGACAACAAACAGACATGTCAGTTATAAATAAAATACAACTACTACTAGAAACTGTGAAGGCAAGAGCAGGGAGGGCAGGGTCTAAATAACTTGATTAACAAGATCAAGAAAAGATAATGTTACTGTGCATACATAGGAATAGTTCAAGCATTGTAGACATGAAAAACAGAAATGGGCACAGCAAATTTTCAAATGTGGGAAACAGATTCTTAGAAGCTAGAGGTTAAGTCTAATAAGGGCACTCACATTGTAAAGGGCAGTATACATGGATGGAGTATAATTGGTAGCCTTGGGGCATTCTAACCAATGGTGCAACAGATGGGGTTACCTAGGTAACAGCACAAAGCAGGTCCTAGTAGGTTTTGTCAAACCAGCTGACAAAAGGTGATTGGAGATGAAACATTACCCAGGGAAGGTACAGTTCAAGTTGGTGAATTGTTCTGGTTTTAATTGTCCCCTTAGCAATTAAAAAAAAGCAATTAAGAAAATTATTTCCAAATTCTAAAACCAAGAGGATATGTTTAAGCTTTATTCTGGGAAGCAGACATATATGTTTTTTTGTACATGTAGCCTTAAGATTATTTGTTTTGGCTATCCCTAATGGATAAAACATAATCCTTAACATTGTCTTGCTGTCTAGGAAGGGGAAAATTATCTTTGTCCTGCTCCTGGATTCTCCCCTTCAGTCCAGCCTCTGTCAAAGAGGACAATGACTTTGCAAACAACTAAGGAATCTTCAAAAAACTGTTATCAGGATCATCCTAAATAATGATGCCAAAGTAATTTTCCTTAAGCACAGATCTGATCATGTGACTCCCTTAGAACTAGAAGGGACTTTCACTAGATGATTATCTACCCAAGCCTCCTCATTTTACAGATGAGGAAACTGAGGTCCATAGAGGTTAATGGGACTTGAAAAACCAGTATTTGAACTCAGTACTGAACTCACAACCAATCCAACACTCTTTACATGAAGGCAGTCACTAAGAAAATGGTGTTAAAGGAGAGTAAGAGGAGGGGGCTTAGTCTCCAGCATTGTCCAACCATGTCTTTTGGAGGTTCCTTTGGGGCCTATTTGTTTGTAGGAATGCTGAACAAAGGTCTTGGGACTGAGAGAGGATGAGAAAAAATCTCTTCCTTTCTCTGTGTGAAGTCTAAGCTGCAACTTTTAAATTGGGGTCTGTCCAGGAACATATAAAAAAAATTAGAACTCATTCAATACAATTAATTTCCTTTGTAATCCTATATTTTATATTATGCATTAATTTTATGTGTTTGTTTTATATTACTTTTATATTATGCATATATTTTTATATTATGCATTTAAAAACATTATTCTGACTAGGGGTCAATAGGCCTTCACCAAAGGGGTCTTTGATGAAAAAATGGCTAAGACACCTTTTGCTAGAGTGATACCAAGTGAAAGAACTGATCACAGCGAAACTATGTGATGGAGAAAAGGGCTACTGATGGATGTCCAAACCAGAAAAACCAGGCATTTGTTAAGAAATGCAGTTACTGGAAGTCAGGAGGACTCTGGGTAGGCAGGCTTCAGGTTGAGGGCAAATACAGATATCAGTCAGGATGGTCAAACCTCTGAAATCCATGCAGACAGGTAAGTCAAGTCAAGGCACTTGCAAAGAGAATTTCACCATATGAACTTGATACTGAGTGAAAATCTGATCTGTTCAAGGGCTTTTTATATGCTCTCTGGCAAGAGCAATGATTAATCCAGGGTATGGGTGAGCTACAGCCCATAGGTGTGGCTGCAATCATCAGAGGAAAAAGCAAAATTTCACATTTTCCTATGTGCAACCTTATACACATAGGGAAATAATTCCTGGCTCTAATTTTTCATTTAGGCTTTTTTTTCATTTATGTTCAACTCTTCACAACTCCATTTGGGGTTGTCTTGGCAAATATACTAGAGTGGTTTACCATTTCCTTCTCTTCAGCTCATTTTATAGATGAGGAAACTGAGGCAAACAGAGTTAAGCAACCTGCCCAGGGTCATACAACTATTAAGTGTTCGAGGCTAGATTTGAACTCAGGAAGATAAGTGTTTCTGACTTCAGGCTTGGCATTCTATCCACTGCACCACCTAGCTTCCTCCAATTAGACCTAAAAATGACATGAAATTCTCAAAAAATAAGTTTAATTCCATTTCAGCATAAAAATAAACCTGTACAGTGTAATGTTGGTTTAAGGAAGTTTCGCGTGGGTGAGAAATATGATTGTAGATTCATAGGCTCATAGATTTAGGGTTCATAGGAACCTTAGAAGTCATCTTATTCCTCCAATTCCCCATCTTACACATGAAGAATCATCAGTATCTAAAAGGTTAAGTGACAAGTGAAATCAAACAAACAGCAAAAAAACCTCAAAACTCCAACGTGGATAGGAATTCATATTATACGGGAGGCGCACTCTTGTAGAATGGAGAAAATTCCTAAATCCTACAAATAGTAGGAAGCCACTTTACACCCCATCCCCACCGCATCTCTCTCTCTCTCTCTCTCTCTCTCTCTCTCTTTCTCTCACACACACACACACACACACACACACACACACACACACACACACACACACACACATACACACCCCTTCTTGAGGGAATGATTTTACATGTTGAGACAGACTTTTAGGCATGGCAGTTTGTAAAGCGTAAGGCACAATGCTCTTCTCTTCTCCCTCTATAGTCTCTCTTGGTAACCTCATCAATTCCCCTGAGTTTAACTACATCTCTAAATAGATGATTAACAAATCTATCTATTAGTCCCAGTCTCTCCCATGAGTTTCAATCCTGCATCACCAACTGCCTATTTGACATCTCAAATTAGCTGTCCTGGAGACATCCTAAGCCACCATGCCCAAAACTGAACTCATTATCTCCACCCACTCAAACTCACCTTCTTCCAGACTGACCTATTTCTGCTGAAGTCACCACAATCCTTCCAGTAACCCCAGTTCATAGTTTCTGCATTATCCTTGATTGTTAACTCTCCTTCACCTCACAGTGTTGTTTCTACCTTCATAACATCTCTTAAATCTATCCGTTCTCTACTCACACAGCTACCACCTTAGGTCAGTCTCTTATCACTCCACCTCGGTTATTCCAACAACCTCCTAGCTAGTCTTCCTGACTCGTCTCTCTCACCACTCTAGTCCAACCTACACAATGATGCCAAAGCAATTTTCCTTAAGCACAGATCTGATCGTGTGACTCCCTTTCTCAACCAAGGAAAGTGGCTTCCTATTGTCTCTAGGATCAAATCTAAAGTCCTCTGTTTAGCTTTTAAAGCTCTTCACAACCTGGCCCAGATCTATCTTTCCAGTCTCATGATATATTGTTCTCCCTCCTACCCCCTGTTATCTAACCAAATTGACCTTTGTTCTGCTTACATGATACTCCATAACCCACCTCTTTGTCTTTGTACTACATATCTCCCATGCCTGAAATTTACTTCCTCCTTCACAGAATCACTCTTTCTTTAAAATGCAACTCAAGTACCATCTCCTGCATGGAGTATCTCATCTGATCTCCCTTATGGCTAATGCCCTCCCTCCCAAACTACCTTATCTTTAACTACTTTTTTTATGTATTTGTATTTGTTAACTTTATATTATATTAACTTTTATGTATCTATATTAACTTTATATTTTATATTACCTATATGTTTTTATATGTACCTGTTGTCTTCCCCATTAGAAGATAAGCTCAGTGGCTCATTCTTTATACTTACATACTCCAACCTAGCACAGTGCTTGACACATAGTAAGTATTTAACATATACTTGATTTACTAGTCCCAACACTATGCTTGTTTCTCCACTTAAGTTCTCCTCTGATATTTCATCATGGCATGGAGGTGACCCTCGTCTTTAACGGCTATGTCAGTGGAATATAAGGTCAGTCATGTTATATCTAAGCTGGAAATATTTTAAGTATGTATCTGGTCGTGTATTGTATGTCTGTTACCTGAGGCATACAAGAATCAACCTAGCTACATCCACAAAAGATAATCATCAGGTTTCTAAAAGAACACTAAATTCTTCCACCACGACACCTCTTGATTACTGTCTAAAAGTTTCCTTAATTTTTTCAGTTAACAAGTACTTATTTTCTCTCTTTTTTCTTTTCTTTTTTTGCTCTTTTTTTCTTCCCTCCCTGCCCTGCCTGAGAGATGGCTACAATTAGATACAAATAGGTGTATGTATATATATGCATATTTATATATCTATATATATATATATATGTGTGTGTGTGTGTGTGTGTGTATGTATGTATATGTGTATATCATATATATATGATATACACACACACACACATATATATATATATACATATATATATATAAATCATTCTATGCATACTGTTATTAGTTCTTTCTCTGGATACAAGTGGCATCTTTCTTCATATGTCCTTTATAGTTAATTAGGGTATTTACAAGTCAAAATTATTTATCCAATTAAAGTTGTTCTTAAAACAATATTGTTGTTACTATATACAGCATTTCCTTGGTTCTGCTCATTTCACTCTTCATTATTTTGTTCAAGTCTTTCCGTGTTTTTCTAATATCATTGAGCTCATTTTTTTTTAGAGGAAGGAGTAGGTTTATTATGTGTGAGAAGAGAGGAAATGAGAGTTAAAGGTGAAGTAGAAGGATAAGAAGTCATATTTAAATTGTGAGATTTTAAAGTTCCAATTCTTGCCAATAACCTGTGTTTCTTGTGCTTCAACTCCATTTCTACTTATCTGATTCATCCATAGAATCTCTTGATTTCTTGGTTCCTTCCATTTCTCCATTTTAATCAATTATAATGGATGTTGCCTCTGAGACACTCTGCCATCCACCTCAAGTCTTCATTTGGTTGTTTTAAGCCTTCAAGCTTTGCCAGTGTCTTGGAGAGTTCTCTGCTAGAGTGATTAAGATGATCATTGTCCTATGCCAAATGTCCACCTATGTAAAACAACAAAGACTCTCGAGCAAAGAGAATGAGCATAATCTAACACCAGGGGCTAGTCTGGGCCTCATTTTCAGGTTTTCAACTCTCTCCCTTTGTATCTGGAGCTCAAAGAGCTGCAAACAACATGGTGACTTGGACTCTAGCACAAAAGTGGGTTGGTTGCCCTTTTTTTTTTTTATTTCAGTACATGATGCTTCAAATAAATTAGTGATAATTGGGAGTCCTAGAGCAATTTCTTTCAGAAGTCCTTCTGGTGTTGTGAGTCCTTGGATTTTACATTCTCAGCAGACCATAGGCAGGTTGCTACTTTCAGAATAAACTCTACAAAAGTACAGACTGGTGAAGCAGGGGCTGTTGAGGTTTCGGGTGCTGGGACCCCCAAATATAGAGAGCAAGAGACATGGGTCCTGCCCAAATGAATTAGACCCAAGCTTTCTTTCAGCCAAAGACAAAGTTTATTAGAAAACTGATCAGGGGTGGGAGAGATTTTAAGAACCCACCATATTGGCCAGACTCTTAAGGAAACTAAGCATTTGTATTGCTAATGCAAGTGGGCCAGATTTTAAGAATTTGAGTCAATCTCATTATTTCTTATAGCACATCACAATTATATACCACAACTTGTTCAGCCATTCCCCAATTTCTCTTTTTCCCACTATCATCCTCCCCCACATATTTATGCTGAGGGGAAAAGAAGAGAATTCTTGTAACAAATACTCATAATCAAGCAAAATAAATTCCCGTATTTTCAGGACCAAAAATCTATGCCTTGTTTTACATTTTTAGTGAACATCTGCTCTGTGAGGAGGTGGGTAGCATTCTCCACGATGGCTTCTCTGGAATCATGGTTAACCATTGTGATGATCGGCTGTCTAGTACGTTGTGAAGGAGCTATGACCAGCATCACCGGAGGGAGTGCCTTTTACCAGCAAAATCACAAATTCTTGAAGTAGGAAAGCATCACCATTACACCTTGTCTTTTGGAAATATCTTGCCTATTGGGAACAAACAATTTCATTCTGGAAGCCCTTCTCCCAACCCAACAGCAAATCACACAAGACCAAGAAGAATGAGATGTACGATTAAGAAAATACTGTGCACCAGAGAATTTGAGAAATGCACATGCAGACATTAAACTGTGGCAGCATTATCTATTAATATCCCCTCGGCTTGCACAGGACTTCTATTCAGCCACAGGGAGCTGTGACAGAGAAATAATAAGCTCCTCAAAGCAAGCACCTAGTTTAAGGAAGGCTTCAGCTTGGTTGGTTTCCTCGTGACTTCAGCTTCCTTAAATTTCTGTCACTGGTACAAGCACAACACATTCACTATCATGGGAATGATAGAAATGACTTAAAGTGACTGCTATCCAACCCATAGTGCTCAACATCTAATCTATGAGAATTTAGAGCCCATAGAGGATTCATTCATCTCTCATCTTTCTTTACTTTTTTTTTTTGGTCTGGACCTGTGGTTTCATTGGTCTGGGGAACTCCCAGTGTGGAAACTCTCTCCACTGATGCAGGTTGTCTACTTGTACCTTCTTAGAGAATTGCTTAGGGCACTGAGAAGTTAACTAGCGATAGCAAACATTGGTTCATTGATTAATAAAGAAGGTGCTGGGAGGATCAAATGAGATAATGTATATGAATGTTTATATTAATGTAAAATACATATGTATTAACATTATGATTTGTATTTAAAAGACAGGTGAGTGAAACTGAAACATCTCTGCACAGACAATATTAATGACATTAATGCATCTAGGATAAAAAGGGAAGCGGTCAAATGGCCGGTGGGGGGAGAGAAGGGGGAAACTTTGTGTCATATTTCTCTGATAAGGGCTTGGTATCCAAGATATAGAAACTATTAATATATAAGAATAATAGCGATTTCCCCAATAGACAAATTGTCAAAATATATGAACACACAGTTCTCAAAAGAAGAATTTCAATGCATTTACAACCACATGAAGAAATATATTAAAGCATTAATAATAAGAGAAATCAAATTCAAAACAAACTGGAGGTTTTACCACATATCCTGCAAATTGGCAAAAAAAAATTATTTTAAAAAAGGTAACAGTCAGTGTGAAAGGGGTTGTGGAAAGCTAGGCACACTAATACATTGTTGGTAGAGTTGGTAGAGTTGTGAAATGGTACAACAATTTAGAAACCAATTTGGCCAAAATGGCCATACCTAAAAATTGGAAACAAAGTAGATGTCCATCAATTGGGCAATGGCTAAACAAATTGTGTTCCATGAATATAATGGAATATTACTGTATTATGTGAAATGATGCGTGTGTAATGAACACAGAGAAGCATGGAAAAGTCTACACGAACTGATGCTGAGTGTAGTAACAGAGCAAAGAAAACAATATACACAGTAACAACAGCAGTATAAATGGAAAGATAAATGAATGACATATCAAAAAACCAACAATAAATGTAACAAATTTATATAGATCAAGTGGGACTTGAACAAAGAGCTATGAGAAGACATCTCCAAACTACCCTTTCATAGAGGCAGGAGGTCCACAGTTGTTACACACTGTACGTGTTTTCAGACTTTTTCAATGTATCAATCAGTTGTGCTGATTTTTTTCTCTCTAAAAATAATATTATTTGTCTTAAAACATGACTGTCAAGAAAGGGGAGGAATACATGGGAAACTACGGTGATAAAAGAAATAGAAAGCATCAATAAAAATTTGTGAAATAAAAATAAAGCACACAGAGAGAAAAATAATCATAATAAAAATAAAAGATGAGGAAGTATAACATGTGTTATAGCTCTATTACTCTCTTTTCCTTACCTGAAGTCAGCCTAGCTGTTGGCTCTCTGCTTATAATACATATAATGGTAACTGCGCTAAGAAGGTTTGCAAAGCCTTTTTTTTATTTGTGTGAGTGTGTGTGTGTATGCATGTATGTATGTATAATCTCCATTGAGCCTCTCAACAATCGAGAAAGAGCTATCAATCTGTCAATCCTTTCCGTGTCCGGGCCGGGTGAGGTTTCCCGTGTTGAGTCAAATTAAGCCGCAGGCTCCACTCCTGGTGGTGCCCTTCCGTCAATTCCTTTAAGTTTCAGCTTTGCAACCATACTCCCCCCGGAACCCAAAGACTTTGGTTTCCCGGAAGTAGGGGCTATTCTTGTTCCATCTTTATAGCAAAGAAAACTAGGGCAGACAGAGTTTCAGACATTTGCCCAAGCTCATACAGCTGTAAATGTCAGAGTCAGGACTCCAACTCAGGTCTTGCTGACTCCAAGTCCAGCACTCTGATCTACTACGCCACCTGGTTTTGTCCTTGGTCCTACAGTCATTAATTGTCAGAAGTAAGATTTGAACCCAATTCTTCCTGGTTCCAAGGTTTGGTCCTCTATTCACTATACCATATTGCTTCTTTGATATCTATCTACCTTCAATGATGAAATTTGTGGACTATAGCATTCTGCTCTTTTAACATTCACGTTATATTCCCCCTCCCACCTTTACTATTCATATTCTATTACTTCTCTGGCCTTAATAGTCCTGTCACTTCATTACCAACCCTCTAAAATGTAAGCTCCTGGAGGGTAATAATAATAATAGTAATAGCTAGCATTTACATAGTGCTTACCATGTGCCAAGCCCTGTGCTAAGTGCTTTATGAATAATATCTCATTTGACCCTTGCAACAACCCTGGAATGCAGTCTAGTAATAGCCTCCCTTTTAGAGTTGAGGAAACTGAAACAATAGTCATTAAATGACTTGCCCAAGGTCTTGCAGCTTCTAAGTGTCTGAGGCTGGATTTGAACTCAGAAATTCCTGACTTAAGGACAAATACTCTATTCACTGTGGCACCTCGCTGCCTCTCAGTAATGGTAGTGATAGTTTCTCTCTCTCTCTCTCTCTCTCTCTCTCTCTCTCTCTCTCTCACACACACACACACACACACACACACACACACACACACATTCACACACAATCATCAGTGATAGACATCGTCTCTCAGGAATTTAGGCTGAGAGGCGATTACCAGCATCAATCCCTAATTAGCATTTCCATTCTCTTTGAACCTAAGGTATCATAATACTCATCCTCTTTTCTCCTCATGTACTGTCATGTTTCCATGAATGTCGTCTTCTCTTGGAATTCAATATTAAATAGAGGCAGTGGGTTTTGTCATTCTTGCTTATCACCATTCCAGTCTCACTGGGCATCGCTTACGCCACGTGGGTTTTGTTAAAATGTACATTTTTAAAAGAGGAAAGAAACTCTGTAAGGGTGTACCTGAGACTCAGAAATGTGGCTTCCTTCATATTTCCCATTTGGGGTATTTTTTTTTCACTCTGCTTTTTTGCTCTGTCATTCAAGTCTCTCACTAGCTGACTGCTGCATTTTCACTAGATAGCACAGACTAATTTCTGTGGGATGGATGCCAGTTGCCCTGTAGATATGTACTTCTCGTTGGCTTATCTTTGCTCATTATTCTATTCTTAAGATCATTATGCAGGAAAAAGCTGAAGATTACCAAATAACGAGGTTTTCCAACATGTTGCTGTGTTTAAACATGAGATAAATTAACAAGAGGATAGTAAGCTGGAAGCATTTGCATTTCATTTCCATTCTATACAGAGAGCTAATACTTGACACTGAGGAGTGAAATGGTTTCGTTTATTCTCAGGAGTTTGGGTGAGCACAAAACTTAATAAAGCCAAGCCACAAAAGCAGTCAGGCTTATCAAACCCAAACAACCTCCCAAAATAGCCACCTGAGCAGAGAGCCAGGCAGGCAGATTTCCCTGCCCTCCGAGTTGTCAGAGAACCGAAATAATGAGATTACCACAAATGTAACAAAAATCCACATTGGAAAAGAATTAGATTATGGCAATGTCCTACTGAGACAAGTTCTCTATTAAAGAAAATCATTTTATGTCACTTTCATAAAGGGCCCTAGTATTATAAATCACTTTTAATACAGTCTCATTTGATATTCATAAGAATCCTATGAAGTAGGTGATGTAAGATTGCACCCATTTCACAAATAAGAAAGTTGAGTCTCAAGGAGTTCAAATGTCTTGCCTAAAGATACACAGCTACTAAATGACAGAGCTGGAGCTTGAACCCAGAATGATGTTAGTTTTGGAAGAAAGCCTAGTACTGGTTGACAGAGTCTTCATTTTGCAGAATAAGAGTCATGAAATGCCTCAGCCAGTAGATGAATTTGGGCTTAACATAATAGATGGCTGATTGCTTCTTTCCAATCATCTGATAAAAATGCTTTCACATCATGAACTCTATCCAGAGTTGGCCAGGTCTTGATTACATTCAACACTGTAATTTTTTTTAAGTTTAGAAACATTTGCCTTGTGGGAGTTTTGACACATCGTAACTTTGGGTAGCTAGGTGGCTCTGAGTTCAGATCTGTTACTACCTGTGTTACCCTGGGCAAGTCACCCTATTTGCCTCAATTTCCTCATCTGTAAAATGAGCTGGAGAAGGAAATGGCTAGTCTCTTTGCCAAGAAAACCCCAAAAGAGGTCATGAAGAGTCAGCCATGACTTATTGACTAAACAGTAACGATAACTTTGGATAGCTTTCCCAGGCTTTACTTACCCTTAATAAATGGTATTTGGAGAAACAGGATGGCATGATGAAGAGAGAATTGGCTTCAGAAAGTCCAATGCCTTAACATAGTAGCTGTGTGACCCTGGACATTGGCTTGATATGCTCACTGGCTGTGTGACCCTAGGCCAGTCATTTTCCTCATCTAAAAATGAATACAAAAATATTCATACTACCTTCCTCACAAGGTTGTTGTAAAGATCAAATGAGATTATATATTTAGATGCTCTTGTAAATCATAAATCTGGGAGCTATTACAGTCTTCTAATGGCTCTAACCACTTCTTTTCAGCAACTCCCAACCCACTACTTCTATAAAGTATACAAAACATACTTAATTTCAACTGCATACCTTTCATGTTTTTATTGCATTGCAATGATTTGTCCATTTTTAAATGGTGTTGGTGCATTCTGAAAACAACAAAGGAACTTTGTTGGAGCTATTATTCTGTAATTATTTCAAGGATATATTTCATGCAAAAAGCATCATTCTGATGCAAAGTATTATTATTTGTTCTTTCTATTCTAATAGAAGTAGCCTGCATCATGGATTGAATGTTTGTCTTAAAGAAAGGAAGATATGGGTTTAGATCCCACCCTTAGCACTTACCACCTGTAGGACCATAAGCATAGAGCCTAAGGCTCTCTGAGCCTCCAGCATCTAAGATTATGAGCTACAGACAGGTTACCATCTGTATTCACCGAGAAAGTTCTCACACTGACAAAAATCACAGGTCCTTGATATAGCACTGTATTGAGGCAAAACTGAAGGAAATCTTAGCAGATGATGAAAGATGAAATAATGAAATCAAGATAACCATAGAGTGAGTCAGCTGCTGAGTGATATTATAATAAAAAACTATTTTTCATCAGGATCAATTATAACCCATATTAATTATTGGTGGGGTGGGAAGGGCTTATATATCTCAATTTTCATAGAATGTTCCAGTAACAAATACATTTTTACCCTTAAGACTAGGCAATCTTGGGTCAGCTAGGTGGCGCAGTAGATAGAACACCAGCCCTGGAGTCAAGAGGACCTGAGTTCAAATCCAGCCTCAGACACTTACTAGTTGTGTGACCCTAGGTAAGTCACTTAACTGTGATTGCCTCAAAAAAAAAAAAACTAGGCAATCTCATTCTGGAGCAAGGAGATGGAGAACCACAAAGTCAAACACTCAGCCTTCTGGTGACATGAGGCCCATGACACTTGGGAGTTGGGCCTAAAACCAATTAAAATGCAATTGGGAAATCTTTAACAAGACAAATAATCAATCAATCAATCATTACTTATTCAGCACCTACTTATGTTCCAGGCACTATGCTAATAACAGGAAATATAATAAATCATACATAACATTAATATATTTCTAAGTCAATTATGTTCTATTTAGTGGCCCCCTTTTTGACACTACCAATATATAAGATTGCTCAGAATAACCTGAACAATATAATAAAGTTAGAGAGAGGTGAATCATCTATCCATGGAACATATGGACATGCCTATTTGTAGACCCATTCAGGTCTCACTGTGGATGAGTGATTAAGTCTTGGAAACTGGGAGTGGACTGGCTTTCTAGAGAGAAAAGGAAGATTTCTTTTGGGGAGAAAATAATCAACCATGTAGACCTAGATCTGGAAAATTTTCAAGTTGTTCAGTAGTGTCTGACTCTTTGTGACCCCATTTGGTGTTTTCTTGGCAAAAATACTGGAGTGGTTTGCCATTTCCTTCTTCAGCTCGTTTTATAGATGAGGAAACCAAGGCAAACAGCATTAATGACTTGCCCAGGGTCACACAGCTAGCAAGTATATAAGACAAGATATGAACTCAGGAAGATGAAAGCCCTGCACTCTATCTACTTCACCATCTAGTTGCCCTCTCAAGACTATAAAGAGATGGACCCATAATAAGGAGAACAGTACCTGGATTTCACCCTCTGCTACTATAGTTAGTTGTTCAGGAAGTGTAGGTTCAACAAGAAATGGGATTGACCCTCTAGTAGTTTCAAATATGTTTCCTTTCCAAGGGAATTCCAAGCCCCTGTTTGTTGTTCATCATATACTTTCTTTTTTTTTTTTAATTTGATTAGGCAATAGGGTTAAGCGACTTGCCCAGGATCACACAGCTAGTAAGTGTTGTGTGTCTGAGGCCGGATTTGAACTCAGGTCCTTCTGAATCCAGGGCCAGTGTTCTATCCACTGCACCACCTCACTGCCCCCCATCATTCACTTTCAATGAGAACCAATGACATCAGGAGGGTTATGTCTTGATTTGCACATGAATTGGATTCAAGTGAGGCAACGTTCTGCTGTGTCCTCAGCCTCACTCTCTCCTCCATAGGCATTGGAGTCCAGTGGCGAGACATTGGTCAGGATGACTGGCAATGGCTTCTAGAGTAGTCTCAAAGGCTGGAGTACCTGCATAAATCTGTATGAGAAAGGTGAGAAGAAACATAGATTCTTTGCTGGCTACTATAAGTCCTCTTTGTTATGTGCATTTCCTGAAGACTTTCAAAAATATATTTTAGTAAC